TGTGGCCCTTGGCAGCTGAGGCAGAAGGCTGAACGCTGGCAAGGAAATGATATGCAAGACAAAAATATCCGCAACAGTAAAGCAAACCAGGAAGGCGTGTACAATCTCCCACAAGAGATGCCCCATATTCCCTTTTCCCCCTTGTGACGGGCTGACGGGGTGGGTTTCTGGACCACGGTCCTGTGCCAGCCCCAGGGATCCTCCTGCCCAGGGCAGGAACTGCTCAGGTGTGGGAGAGGAGCGTCTGTGTCCCCCCAGGACCCTGAGAAGGGACGATGGGGGACAGGGGGAGGCTCAGGGAGCGGGGGACCCCGACCCCAGCACAGCATCCCTGCCAAGCTGCCCTGCAGTGAGCCTGGCACGGCACGGGACCCGCTCGCCGCTGCAAGCCTCGGCTGCTTCTGTTTGCTTTTCCTCGGAAAACAAACCTGGGAAATGACAGTTGAAGAGCTGATAAGAAAAATTAGACGTGTCTGTTGCAGATACGACATGCGCTGCTGGTTGAAAGCAAGTCTGAACTGAGTTCCCAGCCTGCTCACGAAAACTGCCAGCAGAAGACATGCCCAAAGCTCCGCTGCTGCTTCTGCCAGCAAAGTCTCTGCTTCGCCCTCCTGTGCTCGCTGTCCCTGCAGGGTGGAGGTTGCTGTACTTATTGCTGTTCTTGCAGGCTGTCAACCCGCTATTTGGGGGGTGTGTGTGACAAAATCCTGTTGTGCTACAGCCCGCGAGGAGATGGCACCCCCGATGCCTGCTGCTAAGGCAGGGGAAGCTGCGCTCCCCCACCCCGGTGCGAGAGGAGCGCGCGCCTGTGTGCATTTTTAATGTCTGAGCTGACATTTTGCTGTCTTGAAAACAAAAGCTGTTCATGGGCTAATTAAATAGATCTGCACGCAGCATAATGTAAGCCCCAAAGGAGCGACAGAGTCCCAACAGGCTGTGAACTTTGGATGACGGAACGACCCAGCATTATGCATGCAGAAGATTATAATTTTATCATCAGTAGTGGGTAATGTGGTGAGTGGACAGAGTGAGAATTCGGAGTGCTCGGTCTGTAAGGCCCTGGTAAGTATCCCATATGACTGTCATATATTCCCACAGAGATGAATATTACACGTCTTTTATTTTCCTTCTTTACCCTTATTAATATTATAAACCAACAAGAATAACGAAACTGCTGTTTCAGAGTGCCTCCTATATTTTGGAATATGCAAATGGTTTCTGATAAGTACTGACACTGTGATGCCCCTGTGACACCAACACAGCAACAGAGTTAATGGAGGTGACTTATTAATCCTAGTAGAGCAACTACACTTCCAGAGTCTAAAGATAACGCAGAATACTGGAAAACTTGTTCTAATTACAGCAGGGAGCATCTTGCCTCCTTCCTATATTGCCATTTTAAATTGAAATTACTATTCTCAGTAGAAAAGGTCTTTTGTTCAGCTACCAGCCAAGAAAGACAATTTGACTGAGAAGGTTTAATAGTGCGTTAATACTCACATTACACACTTTCCTCAAATGGCCAAGAAGACAAACAGGCAGGAAACAGTGAAGATCGCATACCAAGGGAGACAAAATTAAGTATTTCAATTAAGTGCTTGCTACCTAATGCATTGAGAGAAACGAACACAGCACTCCCTCCGAGGTGCTATAACCGAGGCATCCTACGAGCATATCTCGGTGGGGTGCAGGGACAGGCTTTCTTGTTTGCAGGGACATACCTCCACGTGGCCACCCCACTGCCTGGCGAGGAAGCCCTGGGGGTGGTAGGGGGGCCTGGGGCCTCCATCCAGCCCTGCCTAGCTCCTCTTGCTCCCCCAAAGCCTTTCTCACCCCCGATCCATGCTGCCACTGCAGCAAACCTGGATTTCCCCGCACAGCCAAGCACACGACGACAGCACCGTGTCTCACCCTAGTGCTGCTTGGACCCCTACCTCTGGTTTTCAATGGACCCAGCTTGCACTTAAATGTCCAGTTGGGTACACCTGCGTAATGGGTTGACTGGTTTTTTTTTTAGCCTTTTCTCTGTCTTTTTCTCTGTTACCTGGACCAACGTTAGCAGCAGGGAAGGCATCTGGGTTTTCCCAGCCCAGAGAGGGCTGTGAGGAAGCAGGAGGGGGATGGAGCAGAGGGATCCTGCGCCTGGGGGAGCTGCACAGCACCCTTGGTTCACAGCCCTGCTGCTGCAGGGAGTTTTTGGGTGGTTTCAAGCACGTGGTTAACTCTACACTCCATGTTAGTGATCCCAGTGGTGATCCTGTTCGAGATGATGGAAATTCTTCTGGAATGTTTCTTCAGAACAGCTCTTCAGAAGCCGGGATTTTTGCTGTGTCCTCACTCCTCACCTCCCGGGCAGGTGTCAGCTCTGTCTTGCCTCCTGTAGATACATATGGCTCACAGGCACGGTCAGGCACCTGTACCAACAGCAAGAATTTGGTAACAGCATAGCGGGCACGTTCTTCAGGCTGCAGAGATCGGAGCAAAGCCCTCAGTTTTCTCTGGCTCGGCTGCAGCAAAGCTGTGCTCCCTGGGCATCAGTGATGTATCTTCAAGGGCATCTCTGACCGTGGCCAAGGCAAATGGTGCCTTTGCCGATAAACGCACTCTCGCTGCTGGATGGTCTGTGCTGACAGTGGTGATTTACTGTTTGTGTCAGGAGATGTCCTGGCAATGACCCCGAGCCGAAATTATGTGCAGGGACCCCTTGGTGTGCAGGAGCTGGCCCTGCCTTGTACTGTGCCCATGGGATTGCAGTGTGGGCTGGATCCTGGACTCCCACCCAAGGCAGGGACTTGAAAGAGGTGGCCCCACATCCCCCGGCTGGTGCAGGTTGGTCAGAAGATGCTGTCAGAGGAATCAGGTCTCACCCACTTTGCATTTTCACGTGGCTTCAGCCTCCAGCACTGGCCCTGAGTGCACGCCTGGACCCCGGCTTCGTGCCGGTTCGCAGGGGGGAATTATTGGAATGCACTTCCCAGAGCTCATTAGGCTGCTGAGAGCAGTCCTGCTGTGGGCACAGCAGGCACAGCTGGAGGCAGCGTCCAGTTCTGGAAGAGAGGAAGTCAAATATTATTTATAAAATACCTGCAATTGCATTATCGGCAAATCACATCAATGGTAAACATCATCTGCTACAGTTCAGCAGATACTAGAATATATGGCAATACTGGATTTTCAATTAAATTTCCCCTTTTATATTTCTTTATAAGCATTTTTAAATGTAGACAAAATTGTTTCTTGACATTCTACTCTAGTATTTGATCAGGTCATCTATGTGGTTAAAATAAATTTTGTCCACCCTATAAAGTCAGAGATTGTTTTCAGGTGCTAAACTTCCTACTGTGTATGAAACACTGGAAAAAAACCCATTAAAACTGATCTGGGCCATTTTTTTTAAAGCTAAGATTAAGAAATCAGAGACTGGTAATGTAATAATAGGTGAAAGCCTGGCATATTGCCTTTCTATGGACTTGAGGTAGCAACACCATCAATTTAAAAGTTGTAGAGGGGATCTCTTGCTGCTCTGAGCAAAAAATACTTACTGAAGCCCTTCTGACCTTTTATCCTTCCGCTTTTCTTTATTCTGTACCCACGTTTTCTTTCCGGATCAGTTCTACGTGAGTTGATCTAGATAAAAAGAGGAACATGCCATATACCCACGCCTGGTATTATATTTCCTGCAGAAGTCTCCCCCTGTGCTGTTACCCTGGTGGAGCTGCAGCGGGTGACTCATCATTTCCCAGGCAGTGGCATCTCGCCCGCTGCGGTGCGGAGCGCCCCACGGCCTCCCTCTCACCAGCCCCATCCTGCCCCACGGGAGCTGCTGGTTTTGCTGTCCCAGAGGGCTGGGTCCGGTGTTGGTGGTGCCCTGGGGATGGGCCATGTCTGAGGGAGAGCACTGTCCTTGCAGCGAAATGTGTGCTGGGGTTGTCTGACCCCTCACCCATCTCCCCAGGCTGGGCTGCTCCAGGAGCCCCAGCGACGAATGGAACTGGTGGCCACCAGGTCACTGGAAAATACGTGACCTCGGAATCCTGTTGGATTGTTACTTCCAGGTGGATAAACACCCACATACATACCCTTTCGCATTGCTGTGCAGCAGCAGTTACACGTTTGTGCATTTGAACACTGACATACTGAATTTCTAACCCTAGAATTGCATTTCCAAAGGCCGTTAGTGTAACTGGGTGTTATTCACCAGACCCCTGCTAACGGCGCAGGCTCTGTTCTGCTGGGGGCCATGTTAGAGTCTGGCTATATTTTAGTTGCTCTTGCATTCGAGGGTCCAAAGCTCCCAGTAATGACCAGTCAATGGTTTTTCCAATGGATCCTAAGGACCTACTTTGGCAGTGGCTTTACAACAAGTATAAGCAAGGTGCAGTCCTTGCCCAGGTCTCACTGCTGGTGGTGATACCCAGGTGGCCCTGGGCGGTGGTGTTGCCCCCCTGCCCGCAGCACCAGCCCTGCCTGTCCCTTCCTCCCCTCTTTTTTTTTTTTTTTTTTTTAAACTTCCCTCCTTCACATTCCTCCCTGAAGGGTTTAATTTGGGGAAGGGCAGGCCTCAATAATACCAGCCATGGAAATGGAAACAAAACCAAAATTATTCAGTTTAGTACCTCCACATAATGAATCCTGGATTTTCAGCTGTCCGAGTCCCAATTCTCTATTTTATTTTATTTTGGGAATATCTGAAAATATGGTAGTGACAAAGAAGTGACAGGAGTTCAAACTAAGTGTTACAAGTCCCCTTTTTTTTTGAACTTTCTTCTGACGGGTTTGAAGCTGATTGGGGTAGGAGCACCCTGAGCAATAGCTCTGCACTGATGCCTCCTCCAGCTATTGTTCCCTTTCTCATTATCCTGCAGCTCTTTCTCTCTCCCAGCCTCTCTGGCCTCCTTCCTCCCGGAGCTGTTCCTCCTGGGGAACTGCTGTGTGGGTCGCAGTTACCTCTCATTACCGGGATGCTCTCGGCTGGCTTCTGTCCTGCCACTGGCCTGAAACAGAACGTTTTCCTGGCCATGTCTCAGAGCACCCAGGCATCTCTTGGCTCTTCATATCTCAGTGAAACTTCAGTACTTATCTGACAACTTAAGGTAAAACTCAACAGCTCCCATTGACAATTAGGAAGGAGGTGATGCTGAGGAATAAAGAAAGAGATACGTCAGTACCTGAAACAAAAAAGCCTAATGAAAAGCTAATCATGTAGTACAAAGACATGCCAGCTCAGCTCTTACTGGAAACAAATACCCTGGCAATCATTACTAAGGCCATTTCTAATCCAATGCGCAGTTGCTGAAGCAACAGCTTCGTTTAAGGTGCAAAAGCTGAAGCACTGCAGTCCTGGTGGGAAGCAGGGACCTTTCTGTCCCCAAGTCCCTACCTCCCTTATTTAAATTCCAAATACAAATAAACTCACCTGGTTTGTATCTGAGTCATTCTAAAACAAATCAGATAGACATTTTGACTATAGAAAAAAGTAAAAACCATAAATATAAATCTATTCTGAGACGTTGTAAAGCAGAGTTATCACATGCCTCAGGTGGCATGTGTATGTGGGCACAAGACAGCAAGGCTCTCGAGGAGCAGACGGCAGCACAGTGTTGGTGGGAAGTCCCGCCTAAACCAGACAACTTTCCACTTTCCCTTCAGGAAATTAAGCACCAGTCTCAGACTAGCTGAAGAATGTTCAGACAACTCTGGATGGTGCCAACACAGACTGCATCGGTCCCTGCGGTGTTACAGGTCAGCTGTGACTCTTGTCCCTGCAAATGGCTCATCCCCATCAGAATCCCCCTATTTCCAACGAATCCCACTGGGATCAGGTCTCTCATTATATCTGATTTATTTGAGCTTGCATGCCTTATGCCCCTGGTTTGGTCTCCTGTTTCATACCAAAAAAGTAACTTTTCTGACTGTGAACCCCCCACTGTGTGCAACCGTTTTGCACATGAGCTCCTTCCAGATGCCCTCCCAGGTGGGTACCAAGTGATGCCCCCCTTGCCTGGCTGCTCTTGACTCTTTCCAGACAAGCATCCCACACAGAATGAGCTAAATTCATCCTTGGAGTATATCCAGCGACACCATCGTTATTTCAAGGGTAAATTTAGCCAAAAGTCAGCCCAGCATCCACCTTCCCCTGTGCTTCATAGGTCCATTCCTGTGCAGCGTTGCCCTCCTCCAGGCATGGACCCTCCCAGCTGTGATTTTGGTGAGTGAAACCAGGTGCTGGTCACAGAGACCCCTCGGGAGATGGAGATAAACCAGGGGTGGAGCCATCCAAACCATGAGTGCTCCTCTGAAACAGTTCAGGCCAACCAAATAGACCCTCCTTCCCCTCAGGTGAATTTTAGGCTCTTTCCTTCATTTAGTATTTGGCTTTTTTTTTCCCCTCAAAATCAAATCAGGCCACCCAGGCCACGCTGCACCCACTGATGCCTGGCAGTGCCTGCAGGGTCGTGTCTGCCCACCACAGCAGTGGGACCCTCCATCCCCATTTCCCAGCAAGGCCAGTGGCTGTTTCCTGCTGCTGGCACATCCTTCCCTCCTGCCGTTCTCTCTGCTTGCACTGTACTAATGCTTTCCACCCCCTTAATGATTGTTTATTGAGCTCTTAAGGGATTAACCTTTGGCTTTTAAAATTGGAGCTTCAGGAGCTTATTTCAGGAGCCTAGTCTAAAAATGTACTGGAAAAAAATAATCACTGGCATAGACAATCTTTTTTATAATCTCTAGAATTTATCTAAAAGAACCCACCGTTAAGGAAGAATACCTTCATTAATGTTCCAACATGAGTGAGTATGTTTGTTGTTGTATGAACCTTTTAAAGCTATTAATGATTGATTTTAATGCCTGGCATTTAATGGAGGGGCAAGATCACCACTGACTTAAAACCATAACGAATTTGTGTGTAGACAGGCAGAAAGTCCTTTGTGAATTTCTATTTGCCACTTGGATTTCTAATATAAGTAAAATCAAGAGAAATTATAAATAGGGGCAGGAAGTAAAGCTCTACTCCCAGAACTGCAGAGATGTCTCAGATAAGGATCGATACACAAACATGCTGCCCTTTAATGTGGGGTTTCTTTAGAGAAACCCATCCTTCACACAGAGGACCAGCATCACGGCTCAGACCTTGCTGGGAAGCACTGGTGTTGCAGCCGTGGTGAATCCCATGTAACGGATCCCACATAATCCCATGTAATCAACTTTCATTGTGCAAAAAATGTTCCCTAAAAGTTCCTTTAAGAGTTCCTTAAGTATCCCTTTTGTAAAGTACCGAGGTAGCCAGTGTGATATTCAGCCAAGCGGCCAAAATCTAATTCTCTCCTGGAATCGCACCAACACGGAATTTGCCACTCTGCGTGTAACAGCAAAACCATCATTCATGTTGCTGCAGAGCCCAGACCTGACTTTCTGAAGCACCCTTCAGTGCAACCTCCACTCACCTCCAGCAGCCCTTTATCTCATTCTTCAAATAATTAAACATAGCTCTAATTTAAAACGCACCTTATTAAATGCTTTTCAATTGTTCTTACGTCGTCTGTCATTTGTGTTCTGGCACTTTGTCCACACCGATAGTTATTTTCCTCTGATCTGCTTTAGCTTCTTTCTGTACTCGCTGCGAGAGAGGGGAGAGGGAGAAAAGGCAGCTGAGGCTCCGTGGGGACCCAGGATCACCCCAGCACCCTTCCTGGGAACCTGTCCCTCATCATCTCCCTCCCACTGCTGGCCCAGGCCATTCCTGTCCCTAGCAGTGCCCTTCCGTCTGCCCATGCCCTCACTGGGGAAGGGCAGGGACGGGCTTCACCTGCCTTCAGAACCCCACTGATTTGGCACAGACACCCCAAACTGCACAGAGCTGCCCGCCTTTTTCCTTTCTGTGCCCCCGACCTCTAAGAAATAGCATCACCACACGTGATAATAAATTTTCAAAATCTTAATTGACACAATTGTAAATGTTAAGAAAAGGGAAGGTTCCCTATGACTCTGCTTGGTTTACAGGAAACAAGTGGGATGTGACTGTAAGTAGAAATACAAATTGCTTCAGAGTTGTAGTGCCCTTTTATGTGCTCTCCTATTACTACTGCATAACCACAGACAGAGTGATTTACTGAATTCCCAATGTCTGGAAGAGGAAACACCAGTGAGATGTGTCTGGTCATCATTCCCTTTCTATGAGAGAGCTTGGGTGTTGCTACTAGCTGGTTTTCCCCTTATCTCTACATGAGGAGAGACTAGGGGACAAAGAGGGAAAAAATTCCTTTAGCCTGAGTCACTGAGAAAATAAAAATGACAGTGGGAGACAGAGAGAGGTCCACTGATTAAAATAGTGATGTTTGTAGTAGATTTGTGTAGCCCTGGTGCCTCACAACAGGGACATACATGCCTGGTTTATTCTCTACAATGTGCTGCTGTCCCCAAGCCACATCCAGGCACGGCTCTGCCCGGCCACTACCCCACACCCAGGTCCTTCCTTGGCAGACTGCTTCTTCATGCCTAACAGCTTGGTTGCAAACCACAGATTGAGATTTTTTCCCCCTGTGCTGGCTAGAAAACCGATGGACAGGTTGCACAAGAGGTAAGTTCTGATTTAGCAAAAAACCCAGGTGCAGGGAGTGACGCCTCTGCAGCAGCAACCCCTGGGAACAGCTTCCCAAAAAAGCCAGAAGGCATTGCATTTCAGTGGTAACTTGGCAGCGTCGGGTTAACGGTTTGACCTGATGATTTTAAAGGTGTCTTCTAACCATAATGATTCTATTACTCTGTACCCTCGCTGCTGTGAACCCCAGCAGTTCCCCGTGCTCCTGTCCGCCCCAGGGCTGGCTCTGCTGCCTCCCCTTGCAGGGGTCCAACATGTCCCCCTCCCCATGGCCCAGTGCAGGGCACTGGCTCTGGTCATCCCACATCCGTTTAAGCGTGGGAGGACTGTAAAGACTGTACCTTCTTTCTCCAGCATATTAAAAACAGCCTCTGGAGACAGAGCTTGTGCTTTGTGGTGGCAGGTTCCCCCTGAGCTCCTTTCTGAGCATAAAGACCCCAGGGAAGAGCTCAGCTTTTAAACCCTGTCTTTCCCACTGGGCTCACCCCGTTCTGTGCGATGTCACACATGGATGACCAGCTCCAGAGCACAGATTCCTCCCAGAAACCCTTTTACAGCCATTTCCATGGCCGGGTGTGCTGCCTGTCCCAGGGATGCTGGTGGGCTGCCTCCCTTAGCCCCATCCCCAGGGACTGGGGACATGCCCCAGCTTCCCAGGGTACCAGCACTGGCTGCCAAGATGGTAGAGCAGAGCCCCAGATGAGCTCGTTTGCAGCTCACTAATTTTTGGCAGACAGCCTATATAGATGCTAAGTGATGAGGGAGCTCTTGAGGAAAGGGGAGCAGAGCTTTGTCTCCCACTGTGTTTGCGCTGTGCCTGGCAGGATGGCACCCTCCATGCTGTCTTAATGGAAACAAATACCTCCCTGGTACAGGTGCTAATGAGGCTTCATCTGTTTGGCTAAGGCGGCTGCTGCAGGAACCCTGCCAAATCCCCGGTCCCGGCTGCAGCGGAGAAAATAGCAGCCAGGGCAAAGGCTTAGTACTTTTGTAATGTAATGAGAGAAGAGGGATCATCCTGCCAAGCTTACTGGCCAAATAATGAGATTGAATCTCTGAAGTCGTAATTTGGTGGTTAAGTGAACAGGACTAATTCTGTGTAAGCGGACGGGTCTAATTATTGGCCCCAGTTCTAGGAAAACTATGGGAGCAGGTGTCTGGCAGCGTGCTCCAGAACCAGGGCAGTTTGCAGGGGCCACTAGCACCAACAGCCCTGGCTCCTTTGCCCTGAAGCTGCCTAGGTATCTGGCAGGGGTTCGGGTGGTGGGTCACACACCGACCCTTTCCCAGGCGACAGGATGCCCCTGCAGACACGTCTCACAGCGGTGGCCTTCTGCTGCACAAGGAGCATCCCAAGCTCTTTGCAGGAGCACTCCGAGTCTGGCAGGAGAGCATTTCATTGCTGAGAGGCCCCCGTGCCAGCCCCGTAAGCTGCTTACAGCCTGCTGAGCTGCAAGCGGCCAGAGTGGCATCAGCTTTCCTGCCCAGCACGTTAGCCCAGGCTAAGCAGCCTGGGGAGAAGGACTGGGCCATCCCTCGGAGCTGGCACATGCCTTGGGATGCCATGCTGATGCCAAAGCTGGCTGCAGAGAGATGTGGCAGTTCTGGTGACACCACTGTGCTGGATCTCACCTGGGGCAGAGGCAGTGCCCCCTCCCCAGCAGCCCCAGGACCCAGGGGTGAATCGGTCCCTGCTTTGCTGTCCCACAGGAGGTGGCACAAGGGGTGGGCAGGGGGTTGGAGAGTCACCGTGTCCCCAGAGCACCAGGGCTGCACACCCAGCTCCTGGCTGGGAGCATGGCCTGGCACAGTGGTGGCTTTGTGTTTGCAGGGCTTCTCCCAGCAACATTGTCCCATCCCAGAGTCCCTGCAAAGAGACTGGGAATTTGTTTCACCAAATTCAGTTCCCGTTTGTTGTGGTTTAACCCCAGCCAAAAGCTAGGACTGTGCAGCCACTCACTCACTCCCCCAGTTGGGATGGGGGAGAGAATCAAAAGAGCAAACCCAAGAAAATACTTCTGGGTAGAGAAAAAGGTGTTTAAACAAGTAGAGCAAAAGCCATGCATGCAAGCAACACAAAGCAAGGAATTCATTCCCTGCTTCCCGTCAAAAGGCAGGAGTTCAGCCATCTCCAGGAAAACAGGGCTCCATTGTGTGTAACAGTTATTTGGGAAAACAAATGCCATCACTTTATGTGTCCCCTCCTCCTTCTTCTTCCCCCAGATTTATATACTAATGGCATGGAATATCCCTTTGGTCACTGGGGTCAGCTGTCCCAGCTGTGTCCCCTCCCAGCTCCTTGTGCTCCCCGCAGCCTGCCTGTGCCCCCGCAGGTGGGGTGGTGTGAGGAGCAGAACAGGCCTTGACAGCTCAGCAACAACCAAACCCACCAGTGTGCTATCCCGCTATTCCCATCCCAAATTCAAAACGTCGCACTACACTAGTTGCAAGCAAAAAAGATGAACTCCATCCCAGCAGAAACCATGACCCCTTAAATAACATCATTGGTTTATGATGGGTGTAGCCGGGTTTGCAGCCCAGAAGGGTTTTCTGGTGGCTCAGGAGGGTTTCTCACCATAAGCTGAACCAACTGCCATAGGACCCACTGGAGTCCTGCTGGTTTAGCAAACAAAGTGAGGAGACTAGGGCAGGAGGCAAGGCTGTGTGTCAGCAGGAGGACATGCCTGCTGCTTCCCTGCCCAACACCATGCTGGTCCTGGCCCCCGCTGGCCGTGTGCTCTTGCAGTTTGGCACCTGTAATGGACAGCCTGTTGCCCTGCTTGTGGCAGCAGCTCGCCCAGGCGCGCACTGGCACAGGGCGTTTGCACAAGCTCATGCAGCGGCGTGGGCTCCCCCAGCCCTTCCACAAACTCTCCAAATTAAAAAACCCTACAACCCCAGGATGTCTGAGTTTAGCTAGAAATCCCTTGGCAATCTCACCGGGCAGAAGTGGGTCGCTGCTTACAGGGAGCAGCCCGACAGCCCCCAGCGTGCTCCCCACAATACTTCCCTGCAGGGGCCACTGACCTGTCGGAGTCAGCCAGAGGGCAAAGTGGGATAAGCCCATCACCTTGCAGGCACTGAAAAAGTGAGATGCCACATCTTCACTGAGGTCAGTACCTTGCCATCTGAGTTATCTGGGTCGCTTATTTAAGGCTGCACTATTTCCCTCTCCCTCCCTCGGGGAGGGTGCTGCTGCAGTGGGGCAGGAACATGTTGATGTTCCCCAAGCCACCCATGAGCCTGGCTGGCAGCAGCTGGGAGTTAGAGCTGGGAATGGGTTTGTCAGGGATGTGGTAGCTCGTACCTGCTGGCAAATTGAAGGGCTTGTCAGAAAAATTCCCTGTGCACCGTGGCAAAAGCAAATTTTGCAGTGTCTATATGAAGAGGGTCTGCCTGCCCCAGGAGGGATGCAACGGGAGAGGGATGGGTGATGGTGCTGCTGCACTTACTATGCTCCGCTGCAGAAAGGGGATTAAGTGGATTAATTACAGTGTGGCAGAAAAATGCTGCATCCCCTGATGGGGCATCCCCATGGCCATCGCCCTGGCACAGGCGCTGCCCGTGGGGAGGACGTGGCAGCACGTTCATGCTGCTGACCTTCACTCCGGGCAGGTGAGAGCAGAGGTATGGACCCGTGTCGGTGCCCCCTTCTCCCCTCTCTTCTGACAAACACTGTCTGCAGCCCCCCGGCCGAAGGAATTAGCGTATTAAGTGACAGAGATACCAAGTGACCCCAATTTTGAAAATGAGAGTTTCTCTTTCATGAGAAAAGAGTATGGCTGGTAAACATTGATGAGGAGATAAGAGAGGTGAGAAAGGAGGTCAGATAAGGAGACTTCCTTCACATCTCCCGGGAAAGCATATAAACTACTTTTTATGACTCTCTCTCAGGCAGCTTTTCACTGCCAAGTCCTCGCTGGGCCAACGGCCACACGGGAGAAGAGCCAGCCCCAGGTCACGCCACGCTTAATGAGCGGGGAAACCTTCTGATGGGGCGGCCCTTCCAGCCAGGATGC